GAGAGGAGGGGAGGACAAACAACTGCGATCCCACTATGAGCCCCCGAACGGAGGAGATGAGTCAGTAGTCTGTCCTGGGAGCGTCAGGCCTCCTAAGGTCATTGTGTCAGACTGTTCAATGCTCAGGTCAGGAGACACGTGTCAGGAGAGGGGACAGACAGCCTTAGCATATGTCTGTCATGAGGGTGAAATGTAATCCACGTTGGCATCACATGACTACACAGCGTAAGCACGCACAATAACGGCAAATGACAGGACAATGAAACGGTTTTAAGATTTAAAAAAGTTCTCTTACCCACAAAAATCAAGTACTCCTACAGCTTTATAATCAGAATTTCTCCTTAGCCGGTGAAATACATGGTTTCATTAGTAGGGCCGGATATCCATATATTTTCAGCTGATCAAGGGTTTGAATGAAAGGAGATAATCACTACCTAACAGGCTGGTGGATAAACCTAGAATGACCGAGGATAATTCACAAAGGTATTGAAATCTCTCAAAATACTATTCATCTACGACTATACAGGAAAGTTCAGCACAAGACTCGGTCGGAGTCGCCACCATCAATGACAGCCTGTTTTTCATTTTGAATGAGCAAAAACAGTCGGAGCAATTACTAGAACATCGATTTATGGATACTTGGCAAAAGGAATTAAATACGTTACGTGTAAAAGCGACTAACTTACCTTGAGGAATTTGATTTTGAAGTCTTTTAGAAGCCGATAAGCTCCAACCTCTGATTCTTCAGACCTCATGGACGTAGAAAGCAAATCGTCGCCTCTGTTTAAGTGACTTTCTTTTGATTCCGCGGGAATATCCAAACGCAGATATGAACGCCAGTTTGTAGAGTCAAATCCCCAATGACAACAGCTGTTGAGTTCTGCGACCGCATGCGTGTGTCCGACAAAGTCGGGAGGAGAGAAGAGTTGATCGCAAGTGTGGCAAAGAATGCATGGCGCCGAGGGAGATGTGTACAAATGAGGGTAAATTCGGCCACGCTGTCGACCGAAGCAGTCATGTCGTACGTCTATAAATTCTTCGAGGAAACCAGATTGCTGATCCCTAGGAGATGAAGAGTCGGTAACTGCCCCAGAATCGGCATTAGGACCAGTAGGAAGCTCTTCCTTGATGGAACAGTCACTTGTTTTTGGTTTGGAAGGAGACTCCGCCTCATCTGGCTGGTTATTGGAGGTCAAGCACACTTCAGCCAGGGTTGGCCTCTGTTTGTTGCTGCGAAGGTACTTCAGCATGCGCTCAGCGTCACTCTTCCTGATAAGCCCGCAGCTGGTCACCTCATCAGGTAGTGCACTGCACATATGAAGCAGAGCCAACTGTCTGGAGGAGCATTTTGTACACGCAATCTTGAGCCTCGAGATGGCCTGGCCGATTTCATCAATGTCCATATCATTAAGAACGAAACGCAATAAGTGCGGCAGACAGAGCCTTACCTCACCCCAAACGTTGAAACCCATAACTTTCTCGCCTTCAATAACACTATACACCAGTTCCCCAGGTTCATCGACGCAACCTGGTTTGCTAGTGGGGTCTTGGTCTTTGGGAAATGGCTGAGGGCTCGGTGACGGTTGAACGGGCCGCCGGGTGCGATTGCCAAGCAGAAATTGTCTAACATAGGGGGCCAACAAATGACTGTTGTTATTGAAGAAGTTAAGACAAGAAGCCTCGAGGGTAGGATTTAATATAGGTCGCAAATTCGCAGAGGATAAGGCATTGGACGCCATTTGTGTATTCTGCACTAGATGCTGCAGTTACTTTAGCCTGAAAAGCCGTGTGAATTCGACTTGGTCTTGTGTATAATGCAATAACTCCACGTAGGTATGTCCACAGGGATAGTGAAGGTATCAGGGCGACGCCTCTAGCTAGCCATAAGCAGCTGACTGAGAAATCGTGATCCAGATAGAATAATCCAATAGCGGTGGTTCTGTAGTCAAAACAGAGGAAGAGACGGGCGAGGCAATACAATCGCAGGTCTACTTTTTAGCAATACTTTTTTCTTACGAAGGAGTCGCGGTACACGCAGATGGTCAGACAAGTCCGAGCGAGCGACATTCGCACAAACACTGCAGACGTCAGGCTTTGGCGCGTCAGTCTGGTGACCTGCCGCAGCAACGCGAGGCGAGGACACGCGTGCAGGCAGCCAATTGGCGCACAGAAAAAGACATCGATTGTCCCGAATCAGTAAGGTCAGACAGCAATGGCGCAAACGGGCGCAGAACGACTGTGCGTGATGCCTATTGGTGGAAATTCTGGCTGCTTATTGGTTCACGCCGAGAGATTAGGCAGTGGCTGGATTGTGCACTTTTTTGGATGGCTCTGGCGGCGTCGTTTTTCTCTTTGTCTGCCTCTGCCCGCCTGCCCACATCGCTAGCTGGGCTGTCTAGCCAGCGACGATGGCTAGCCTCAGCGCGAGGACGTGTTTTTTCTGCATCATTGCAACTGGTTTAGTGGCGCCTTTTTGGACGCGTGGCGACTACAAAAACGACTGTTGTCCAAGGTTGCCACAGTCTAAGCGCTAGACTGCAAACATGTCTAAATTGATAAAGTGGCAACGGTTAAATTTGTTCTTTCG